GGACTCGATCCCGCGACTCCAGGATCATGACCTGAGCCGAAGGCAGACGCTTAACGACTGAGCCACCCAGGCGCCCTGGAGTGATTTTTAATTATAGTATTTTAAGAAAAGTGTCTTTTTAATTTTTTTAATTTATTTGTCAGAGAGAGAGAGAGAGGGTGCACAAGCCAGGGGTTGGGGGGAGAGGAAGAGGGAGAAGTAGGCTCCCTGCTGAGCAGGGAGCCTGATGCAGGACTAGATCCCAGGACCCCGAGATCATGACCTGAGCTGAAGGCAGACGCTTAACCAACTGAGCCACCCAAGCATCCCGAAAAGTGTCTTTTTAAAAGGAATACTTAAAGATTATAAGCCCAGGCATCAACCTATTTAAAGCCACATCTACTATGGTGGATAGACCTGGGAATTTAAAAAAAAAAATGTTTTCAAAAATTGACCAAAAGAAGTATTCTACAACAGAACACCTATATTTTAAAATTGTCTCTAAGTAGTATCACAGTAATCTTTTTTTAAAGATTTATTTTTATTTATTTTTTAAGATTTTATTTATTTGAGAGAAAGTGCGAGCAAGAGAGAGCAGGAGCTGGGGTAAGGTACAGAGGGGAGGGGAGAAGCAGACGCTCCTGCTGAGCAGGGAGCCCGACGTGGTATTTGATCCCAGGACCCTGGGATCATGACCTGAGCCAAAGGCAGACGCTCAACCGACTGGGCAACCCAGGTGCCCCTTAAAGATTTATTTTTATTTGAGAAAGAGAGAATGTGTGTGCAAGCAGGGTGGGGGAATGGGGGAGAGGCAAAGGGGGAGGAAGAGAGAGGATCCTGAAACAGACTCCCTGCTGAGCAGGGAGCCCGAAGCGGTGTTTGATCCCAGGACCCTGACATCATGACCTGAGTACTAGAAGCAGCACAAAATGTACAGGAACTAGCATAAAACTGACTGACCTAGAGTTTTAGTCCTTGTTCTCCAACAATTAACTGTGTAAGCAGGACTCAGTTTTCTTCATCCATAAAATCAGGGAGCATAAATAATATAAATAATTGTGAGTAATCCTGAAAGCTCTAAGAGCATATGGCTCTAAGTCATAAATGTTTCAAAACACAATGTTAAAATTTCTTTGCTTGGATTGCTTAATGGTAAGGAAAGAATACTCTATCTCCTCTACTTGCCACAGTCAGTAAATTCCACAAAGACAGAATCTTAGTTTTGTTCACTTATGCATACCAAGCTTCTACAACAGTGCTTGGCATGTTTGATATTTGTAAATGATTGAAAATGGTTTAAGAGCCTCCAACCCAGCAAATTGCTTTGAATCAATTATTTGGACAATGTCATAAACCTGGCATAGTTTAGCTTTTCAGTTTAATTCTCACATTCCTGAAGCGAAAATGCTACAACCGTATAGCTCTCAGACGTCTATAAGGGAGTTACATCTACTGACAGCAGAAAGATTCAAGAAATGCTACCCCCGGACTTAGAGTCAAACTTCCCCTACCACCTGATGGGGCCCATACTCAAAGTAGTGTCAAAACTCTCAGCTATGTACACGCACAGGCCTATAGAAGCCAGGCTGTCATCTACCCCACCCCTCTCAGGCTCTACCTCCCTAGAAGACAAGGAGTTACAGTTTCTTCTCTCGCGAACCTCCTAATTCTTAAAAATGGTGAAACTGGAGCCACCAAAAGACACAGAACCAATGGTGGTGAAAGGGGATGGGAAGGAGTACAGACCCTCTCAAGCCCCATTCTTTGGGAAAAGCCCGTGTTGCTGCAACAGCGTCCTCACCTCCTTCTTTCTTTGGGCAGAGGCTGAGGGAACCCCGTAACTGAGCAGCAGCGCCGCCGCCATGTTCGCGGAGACACAGCAAAACCACCAACGCGCTGCCATGTTCGCTTCTCTCTCTCTCTCTCTCGAAGCGAAACTTTCCTCAGGCTGGGTCTGAGCGCGGGGCGTGAGAACAGGAAACCAGCCCCCTGTCCCGCCTCATTGGTCCAGCTCAGCCCTTCTGGGCGACCCTTCACATTACGTCACGACGCTCTACCGCTAGACGCACGCTAAAAGACGGTTCACTTCTAATTGGTCTCCGTTAGCCAATAGAAAAAGGATAATCTGGTGGTTTTTCATTGGTCCGCTAAGGATGATTAACTGCCCCTTTCATTTACGCAAAGATGAGGCGTGTAATGCGTCTGTACAGGCGCATGCGCAGTTGTGAAGCGTTGCGGTTTTTGTTTTTTCCTAGTCCAAAATGGCTTCAGGCTGTTAAGTTGGAATGTTTTCCCCATTCATTTAGAAGTACCTTGGAATCCTCCTTGTTTGTGTAATAGTCTAGAAAATTCGGACCTAGCCACGTGATTGTTAGCTATCTTATTCCCTCATTCTGCCTCTAAAGTTTTTCAAATCAAGATGAAAAAAGTAAAAGCAGGAAAACAGATACAGACTTAATATCACTGAAGACTTTTTAAAAGTAAATGAGCTAGAGCTTGTTGAATACCTTGTGTGTCCCAGGAACTGTGCCATGTGTGGTGCACAGAGCGGACATCAAAAGTGATTTTTTTAAAGTTGTTTTTTTCATGACATTTTTAAAGTTAAACTTATTAATTTATTACTTTAAGACAAGGACTTAAATTTCTGGTTATAGACAGCAAATACTGACTTCTTATTTTGTTTGGAAGATGAGCATGAAGCTAAGGTTGTAAGGAAGCATTTCTGTCTTTTTAGTTTTTGTGTCATAGTCCATATTCTTTAAACATCATTTCCCCTATGTAAAACATAATAAAAATCCCACATAGCTGAAGAAGTTTCCATTTATTTGGTCCAGGTTTGTTTATCATAGTGGGTTGTAAAACTGGGATAATTTAACTAGAGAAGAATAATATACTCAAGAGGAAAAATACCAACAAAATAAAATCAGTTGTCTATAATTTGGATTTATTTCCATGATGTGAAACATCATATGACTACTCTTTTAGGCCTCGCTGGGAAACACATGCACACACACGCACAGAGAAAAAGAATTTCATTATGTTGGAGAGATAAGGATATGTGTATGGAAGGGAAAATAGCTGGTTCTGAAGTGAAAATATGTGATCTGGAGATATGAAAAACATTTTAAGACATTTACAGACATAATAAGAATAATACAAAATAAAAGTATATGGGGACATGCTGTTTGATTCTATTTATATGACATTCTGGAAAAGACAAACTCAAAGGGACAGAGAATAGATCAGTGGCTATCTGGGGCTGGATGTGGGGAGAGAGGAGCCACACAAAGGAAATTTTTGTGGTGATGTAACTGTTATGTCCTTTATTGTTGGGGTGGTTATACTAGGCACTTGTCAAAACTCACAGACTGGTACACCAAAAAAGAATGAATTTTACTGCATGTAAATTGAATGAATAAAAATTAAGGTAAATTTTTAAAGAACACAGAAATCTCACCTATCATGTTGGCAAAAATTCAATACATGCCATCATCAAGGCTGTGGGGAAACATGCACCCTTATACAATGCTGGTGGAAATGCAAAATGGCATATCTATGGAGGTTAAGCTGAAAATATCCAGCAAAACTACATATGCATTTATCCTCTGATCTAGCAATCCCACTTCTAGGAATCTAATCCAAAAAATAAGAATATATGTGCACAAAATTATTCATTTTAGCACTATTTATAATTTAAATATTCTCAAAAATACCCAAATGTTCAAATACAGGAGACTGATTGAATATACTATGGTACATTGTTGGTTTACAAACTGGACACTGTATATGCAGGGCAAGGAGAGACCGAAGAGAGACTGAGGCAGACCACTCTAAGTTGATAGTTTTTTCTAAATTTTTATTTATTTTTTATTTTTAAAGAGTTTATTTATTTATTTGAGAGAGTGAGAGAGTGCATGCATGAGCATGAGCGGGGTAGGGGCAGAGGGAGAGGGAGAGGGAGAAGCAGATTCCCCACTGAGTGTGGAGTCTGACCTGGTGCTCAATCCCGGGACCCCGAGATCATGACCTGAGCCAATGTCAGATGCTTAACCGACTAAACCACCCAGGAGCCCCTAAAATTTTTATTTTTCTTCTTAAAGTATAGTTGACATACAATGTTACATTAGTTTCAAGCGTACGACATAGTGATTTTACAATTCTATACATTATGCACTGCTCACCACCATGAGTGTAGTCACCATCTGTCACCATACCACATTATAAAAATATTATTGACTAAATTCCCTATGCTGTCCTTATCTCCATGACTTATTTATTTTACAACTGGAAAGTTGTACCTCTTAATCCACTCCACCTATTTCACCCATCCTCCCTCCCTCTGGCAACCACCAGCTTGTATTTATGAGCCTGTTTCTGTTTTTTGTTTAATTAATTA